GTCCAACTCTTCAAACCACATACCAACGTTGGCTCAACATCGTCCGTTTATTGGGTACTCGGTAGCGCCTGACATGAACGTCCACTGTCATCCCACGCAGCATTCCGCAACACTCTCCAGCTTGCACTGTCCGGCCAAACCCTTGAACAATCAATATTCGTCTTCTTGGTTCTTTCGGTAAAGTCACGTAGAAGGGAAATAATAAAATAATAAAACATAATAAAATAATTCTCACGACGTTTCGGCCACAACGCAAGCAGCCGTCCTCAGGTGAAGAACAGGGCTGTCGGAAAGACAGCATCTGACAGACCTGTTCTTCACCTGAGGACGGCTGCTTGCGTTGTGGCCGAAACGTCGTGAGAATTGTATTTTATTATGTTTTATTTTTATTATTTTATTATGTCCCTTCTACGTGACTTTACCGAAAGAACCAAGAAGATGAATCCCTGCAGTCACGAAAGCTTTAAATCGAAAACAAATATTCGTTCATATGAGTGCAAGATAACTTACAGACCATTCTCAATCCACTGCCGAATGAAGGCCTCCCTTTGCTGTGTCACTCATGAGTGGGGGTCGCATGACCATACTTCACCACATTGGTCAATGCAGCTTGGTACAGTGGGAGGAGGTGGACCGTTAAGAGTTATCACATCGAACGCCGGTCGACGAGTTCATAGCACATGGCACGAACAACCGCGCCCGGCGTTCATTTACCCCAGGAGACGACTCCGATCGAGTGCCCACGGAGGAGCTCAAGAAAACCCTGAGACGACTACAGCTCAAGAAACCTCGTGAACCTTCTTCTTCCACTCTCGGCGCGGTGCATGATGCAGCACAAATTACGCAAGTCCTGGGAAGCAGGCCCCACCCACCGCATCCTGCGGGGACACCGGGGATGCGAGGAGGGACCAGAAACAAACCCGGCACCTCATCGACATGTTTATTAGTTCTCGTGCAGGGAGCGGCATACGCTCCACTGTGTGGCGGTGCAGCCGACCCCCCCCCCCCCACCACTCTGCCCCCCCCCACTAACCCCATCCACCCACCCAACATCCCCCACCTCGACCTCACAGCAAAAGAGGATGTCGCAGCACAGGTTCTAAGCAGGGTTTAACGGCGCGCCCGTCAATCTCTCTCCATAGAGGTGGAGATAAAAGCTACCTTTTCTCTCTCTCTCTTCCCTCTCTCTCCCTCGCGCCCGACTCCACACAAGACATCCTGTCATCCAACTTTACAGGATCAATTATCGAGCGGCAGGAATGCCACTGGTGGATGGGCCGGAGCTGCTATCCTGTTACATCATTCACTTTCAGTCCGGAGGCTCTCTCCCTCTCTAAGAGATGTTAACACAGGAAACCTTCTTTAAAAGCAACTACTGAAGGTCTTTCATGCATTCTGCCTCTCTCTTCTGCGCCCCCCCACCCACCTCCACCTCTCTCGCCCCATCGCTCCCCCAAGCAGCGCCCAGGCTTCTGCTCCCTCACTCCCTCCCCTCACCCCCTCCCCTCACCCCCTCCCCGCCCCCCCCAAAAAACTCACCACCATTCCCTCCCACTCCTCCCGCTTTTTTCTTTGGAAAACGTTTGCAGCTTGGGTTTGAAGAAACCACATCTTAACATTAACCGAAGGGGCCAGGAAAGGTTCTGAATAAACAAGCAAGCCATATTCATGACATGGAAAAAAAAGAAAACCACTAACAGCATTAAAAGGTACCACAAGGTCTCATGTCAAAGGCTCGAAGGCTGAAAGCTGAGATGATTCCATTCCCTTTGATATCTAGAGCTTTTGAATTTGAATGTATCAAAATAGGCCATCTATTTTTATTTCCGCTTTTTTTTAGAGTAACCTTAAAATAAGCGTTACGGACAAAATTCCCCGAGCGTGCAAACGCGTGTGCGAATGGATACGCAGAGCTAATTAATACTCGGAATCACAGCGGTCACGTAGCATCGTCGCCCGCATCACAGATGCAATGCTTTGCATTACTCGTGCGGTCACAGCAGGCAGTAAGCATCACCGTCATGCGACGTGCCTGGCCGAATTTGTTGCCCCAATCTTCGGCAGCGTGGTGGCAATTAGCGCAAGCGTTCAATTAGCGCAAGCAGTCGTATGGAATCACCGTGGCACTAGGAAAACAACGTCGAGTTACAAAAATGGAAAAGATTAAACCGCAAAAGGAAAAACAACCGAGGCTCCTTCAATAGGCAGACTTGTAATCCTCACCCCCAATGAATTAGCAAAAAACCACACTGCATCTTCACCACCGATCGCACGCGCGCACACATACACACACTCATCTTTTTGTTCACCCTCCAAGGTGCGTTCACGTTTTCCACTGAATGCCTGAGAACAGACAACAGGCTCGCCAGTCTCGCTGCCACATTTAGTTAAGCCGAGCCCCGGTTTGCAAACAGCCCTAAAGTCTACAGCGCTTTTGCACGATGATGAACGTTACATCACCACCTTTTTTCCCTCATCAATTCTGTGCCCGTTTCCTTACGGCGGAAACCAGTTGGCTCACACCGCAGAGCAAAGTTCACAAGTGCCTGTGTGGGGCTGTCACATTTTCTCTCCCTCGGGCTATTGTTGTTACATTATGCCGATGAACTCAAAAGTTTACACATCCAGTCTTCTGTTTCACGTAACATTGTGCACATAAGCTCCGAGCTCAAGAATGTTTGAGTTTGAAAAATATTAAAATCTGGTTCGCATTTACTCCAAGTTAAACTAAAGGGCCTTTCATGCCATGTTTTCAGTCATCCGAGAAAGGCTCAAAATTTGAAGCCATAGTTTCATATTTTCCGTTGAATAAGATAAAAGCAGTGGCGGGGGCCGGTGAGAAAACGACAAGAACTTAGTGAGTTGACAATCGCTTCGTATATCGATGGAGCGACGAACGTTTTGAAACGGCGCGTGCGCAAGCGTCCGTGTGCCCCCGCAGGCATGCGTGCGGCGAAGAGAGCCCCGGTTCTCCCCGCCTTTCTCAACGCTTAGCCGAGCCCCAGGGTCATCGCCTAGAGCAACTGGAGCGGCGCGAGCGACCTCGCCCCATTCACATGCCACCGAGTGAAAAGGGACTGCCGTGACTTACTGGGGTCCTACGACAGGCATGACGGCTCCTCCCGGAGAATTACCTCCAACTACCACCCACCCCCCCTCCTCCACCACCTCCTCCGGCCCCCACAACCATCGCTAACCCCCCCCCCCCCCCACCGGATCACGCTGTGACGCGTTTGTTCTCCGTGATGCAATTAAGTGCAGCACAAACAGGGCGCGCACAAGACAGACACTCGGACAAAGGGCCTCGCTCCTTTAATGAAGTTGGGGGCGTTTGCCTTGGTTACACAGCCATTGTGGAAGAGCTAAACTTTTAAACAAACTACTTCTTGCGACTGGGCCACTGGGCTATATTACTTTGCACGAGCTCAACATAAACCACCCCCACCACATCTGGTGGGCGAACGCCAAGGCGGGAACGACATCGGCCCGCTTTCTGAACATTAAACCGAAGAAAATGAAAAATCACGCTCATAACGCTGGACTTAATCAGCGGCGGTCCTCCCCTGTGGTAAGTGATTACTGCAACCCCAGGCTACAAAGCCAGGCGTTCGCCTCCCTTTTCTTGGCCCCTCGTCCCAGACAAGCCCACCGCCCACAGAGATGTTATCAAAAAACCCACCGAGCAGAAGCTCGTTGTTATGGAGGTCGGCCTGGAAGGGGTTGTATGGGGGGTAGGGGCAGGGTGGGGTAGGGGGGGTGAGTGGTGGAGTGACAGGGGGCTGTGGGGTGGGAGGTGAGAGGAATCTGCACGGAGGAGGAGGAGGAATCAGGTTTTGGTCAGGGTAGATTCTGTTCCAACAGTTTGCCCTAAAATGTTCCCTTCTCTTGACATTGTGTCCGATCGGCTCGTTTTTGATGGAAGAAAAAAGTCAGAAATGACGAATGGTATTTCACAAATGCTCGTATGAATCTTCGATGCTCCGTCGCGCTTTGAACCCTGAGCCAACGCACATCATGCCACGATGATCTCGTGCACTGCAAAGCGTTTAAAGGTGTGTTAAGCAGCGGGACCGAATGTCAAATTGTGCAGCGTGGGCATTTGACGTTTCATAATAGAAACCAACTGTCAATCGTAGACATGCTGCAGGCTATTTCAAATTGTTGTCAATGTGTTGCCAAGCTCGCGAGTTTTTTGCCAAACCCTTGAAACTAGGGCAGAAAAGACGAAGCTATTTTGACCCATAAAACTGCAGGGCTGTTCATGGTGGTTATACATCGTTAAATAAGTACAGACGGCACTGTGAGTTAGGTTAATACATATATGACAATGCTTGGTTGTATGAATATTTGATTGGATGAGACTCATCCCTTTGATCATCCACGTGTCGTCCATGTCTCAGGTGTGATTGTGTGGGACGCTTCGGTCATCTGTTGCTCAGGATCACTGGAGATTATTTTTGGTACGAAAAATATATGTACATCAATAAAGATGTTGGCAAAATTTCAACTGGGCAGTTCAAACTGCAGTGAAATAGTCATTATTTACGAATGGCTAACTCCTTTACAGACACCCTATATATTTTCTTCCACACATGTGAAGCGTTTGCACATGCACTTAGTTACTTTGATTTTGTTCGTATTAATACACAACCATTTTACATTTAAATGTGAATGTGCAACCAACTCAGTTTAGTTGAGCTTTAGCTTGGCAATGCATTGTGGGTTCGGGATTGGGAAGGTACAGACAAAAGATAAGGTTGTCCTCGAGATACAGACATACAACTTACGGACATCCACAATTATGAACGGGAACGTAACCCATTCGTAAGTCGAAGACTGCCTGTATAGGTGTTTGGATGCATTGACATTGTCTGCTTAGCACGTAATATTTGTATCCCAGCACCTTGGCTCATCGAGCCCGTAGGCCCTGGTGCAAGTGCACGGCATACATACTCGAGATAGCTACGCTGTAGAGTGAATGTGTTTGCCATGAAATGTACCTCTTAGGCCGGGAAGCAGGGAGAGCTCTGTTCCTTCTGCCTCTGTGGTCATCAGGGTTGTGTGCGAGAGCTCTGTGGACCAAAACAAAACTATACTGAGGTTGACTTTCTGGGAAAATCAAACAGCTTATGGGAAACACGGTTTTATGTTTAGTAGGCGTCAGTTCCTTGATTTTACGCTAAATATGTGTGCCAAATGTTGTTTATTTCCTTATTTTGTTTCGACATAAAAATGGCAGTGTTTCATAGATTTTAATGTAAAGAGACTAATCATATAATATAGATAAACCACATATTACATCGATATGAAATAAAAACAGCTGTTTTATCAGTGTATAAAAATGCGTGCCAAAATATGTTTCATGCAAAAAAAGAAAGCTTCAGCCTTCGAGACAAAAATTAATTCGATGTCAAATTCATAAATCTGCCATGTAACTCAAGAGCACCTTGTAGTTTCGAAGATTCTTGGGGAAATCTTGAATAAGGAGGCGGAGGCGAGTCTGTGAAAGAGAGACACACAGTGGAACAATGAACCTTTGTTGCGAGCCGAGAGGACACACGCGGGCACGCACGCACGCACACACATGACACCGCGCGCCACACAGCGAGCTGCTGTCGCGACGGGGGCTCGGAGGGACACCCCGTGCCAACGAAGCACTCTGCGCGAACGTGACCCTGTTGACGCGCGTCGATTTTTCAAATTTATTTTCTGCGCAATCCGGCCGTTCAATTGGCGATCTCCCCCCACCCCCCTCCTCCACATTATTATTTCCCCCGTCTCGCCGCCTCTTCCCATCGCTCATGTGGAGCTGAAGTGGCGGTGATAAGCTCGCGAGCCTGCCGGCGCCAGCCATGCCGATATGGCTCCGAGCCGACCTCCAGCCACGGCTTCGAGCACGCAAATTGCAGTCCAGCGGCTAACAACGCCGCGTGGCCCTGGGCATTCGTGCACCAGACACTACCACCACCCCCACCCCCCCCAGCCGACATGAATCCTCACACACAATGGCTAGAAGCTCTAGGCAAGTGGTGTCCAAACTATGATCCGCAAACTACTGGTGGTCTGCAGGAACTGGTGGTCTTCAAGACCATGGAAAGTGGTTCAGGGAACTGTTGCAGATATTCTCATTTGGAGTAGTTTAGAAGAAGGAATTATTGGTCCATGGTCAGTGACAGTGAGACAAATGTAAGGGTTGGTCGTGGTCGGTGGATCGAAAAAGGTTAGGAACCACACTACTCTTAGACTATGCAGATATAAATCGATAATGCAATGCTGTGGAGCATTATGGTTAAAAGCATACATCAGCAGACCTCTGTCCTGTGTCTCCAGATAAAAATAAAAAATAATGTTTCGCTATGGTTAATCGGCCAATTGGCTTTCCAGACCACTCTTATCCCGCAGAATTTGTTTGAGCAAATAAACTCTGGAACAAGTTTGACTTTCTGGGTCTCGTCGGCAGAGTCAGGCTTGTTAAACAAATCTCTCTGGCGGCAAGGGCACTCCCATCCAAACTATGGCGTGCGATGGACTAACTCACATGCAGAGAAACACAAACATAAAGTCCCGTTAATATTTCTAATACTCACGATATTATTTCAATGTGTAAGATACAATCCTTTGTCAATCCACTGCTGGATGAGGGTGAGGGCACGGGGCCCTGACTTTCCCACAAGTGGATGTGGCGAGAGATTGTTTTGTTCAAGAGTTGTTGAAATTATGAACAGATCCCACTATTGTGTTGCAATGACTAGACCATAGTCAATCCACTGCTGGATGAAGGCCATACTTCGCCATGCTGGTCAGTAATGGGTTAAGTGAATGTGAATGGCCCAGTACTGGCTTCATATATCACTCGCCACTGATGTTAGCCGTGGCTGAGAATCAAACTCAGGTCGCCGGAGGTTTCAAGCGAAGCGTGCTAACCACCGCTGCGAATAGTAATGTGTTGTCATGTCAAATATCCTTTGCTTAAGGTGAAGTTGAACACACACGTAACGGTGATTCGTTAGCACTTGAGAATAAGTCTATCGCACTGCAAGTGAGCCACTATTACCAACAGTGCTGTACTCATAAAAAATACTTTTAAACGACTGTACTGCACGCACAGACACAGCTTGTTACTTGTACTAAGACAAATATAGCAATTGTTTATACTGTACATACGTGTAACGTGCGTTTTCAGACATATGCATTTGATTTTTATATAGATACAGAAACTGGAGTACGATTTGAAGGTGAATCGCGGAGGAGGGCGGCTTCATCTCCGCGACTTGGCCATCGCTGGACTAGCATTTCTCGTTGCACTTTCCCCTGGCAGGGCGGGCGGGGAAGGGGCAGGAGGGCCCTGTGGTGTGTGTGCTCGAAATCTCACCGTGGAGTGTCTTATTTTCTTAATCCCACGTGAAACACGCGCATGGCCCGGGGAGTCAGAACAAACAAAGCCCCCTCCCCCCCGTTTGCCGCCGCAAGTGTGGCTTAGAATATGCATCGGCGAGTTGTTGGGGTCTTCGGTATCTTCGCAAAAAAAGAGCGGTCGGTCTATTCGATGCTTTTTAGTTTGTTGTTTTTTGACACTCTGGACTTGCACATCCAGATTCTATCTCGCGGCCGCGGCGGTTGAAACAATGATCGGGTTTCTTAAATCTCCACACCACACCAACACACCTCTCTGTCCACGCAAGAAGCGTAAATGTGTGCACCCACGGTTAGTCGGTCGGATCGGCAAGATTCGCGCGCGTGGTGAGATAAAGCGTGGTGGGTACTCTCGCCCGACCTCTGCCGAGACACGTGGTCAGTGTGGAAGAGTAGGCCAAATATATTCTCTCGTGGGGCCCTCGTCAGCTGCCCGTCCTGAAGGCCCTTTGCTCCAGCAGTGGCGTGAGCAAGGCATTGCAGGGCTGCACCCTTCTCATTTTGGTTTATTGTAAACAGCAGTTGTACCCAGGGTTGGACTTTTGCGATAAACCAATTGCTGTGTCGATTTAGAAGTTAATGGAAAGCAAATTTCTCAATGGTAAACGCTGGCGGGAGAGGGAGCAGTAATCAGTGTTTAGCGCACTGCACTACGGACACAGTCACTTAAGCTTGATTCTCAGCCACAGTTAACATCAGTGGCGAGTGATGTCCAAACTAGTCCAACTTTCACCAACCCAGCACTGACCTCCCCCCATGACCAACACTAACCATAGGCAGCAGATTACAAACTTAATACCAGCGTAAGTTTCAAAACTGTCAAAGTTATGTTTGTATGTTGAGCTTCTTTTGCACCGCACGCAGACAACCGTGCTAATCGAAGGTGCGGGCGGACAACAAACTAAACACAAAAAGCAGCTCTAAAATTGTTTTAGTTTTCAATCTAGATCTAAAAGTGGATATTCTCCAGTGGCTTCCTAACATCGGAAGGAAGAGCGTTCCAGACGACCGCAGAAGCGCACCTAGAAAGCGCACGATGCAGTGATGGCAATGTAACATTGCCAACAATGTCGACGCACAGTGACAATTTTGATACGAAACACTCGGTCGGCGGTATCTGTGTGCTCACCACAATGTCCATCACATGCTGTGTGCATTGTCCATTGGAAGGACGATGCAGGGACGGGGGGTGGGGGGGGTTATAGATTTTACTAGTCCCATCTCCCGTTCCACACGCGATGATGCCGTGCACTGTACACTGCGAATTCTCATGCCTGGCAATGGCCTCGGGTCCACGTAGGTCAATCTTTGGGTGACCACTTATGTGTGGCACCTGTCTATACAGATGACATATGAACGTCCGCAGTGTAGTGCCCCATCAGCCCATTGATGTCTTGTGAAAACAAAAACACTGCTCCGCTGTGAGAGCACGCACACTACTGCCACTGTGAAAGAGGCACAGCAGGAATTTAGCAATGCCCCCAACAATGCGGTCATGAGTAGACTTCATTTCGAGTACGTGCTGTGTGGTAACAGTTGTCAAAACCCAAATAGAATTATACTGTCACAATAGTGACCATTTGAAGTCAGTTCAGTGGCAGTGAAGTTGCAAAGAAACACTGATGCATTCATGGAATTGGCCAAACAGTCCCAGAGTTGGGCCCTGCGAGAACATACCTTTGAGAATCAGTGAGGGTTTCCTGAATAAATGTAAATTTTATTCGATATTTAAATCCACTAGGATTTAAACAGACGATAACCTATACATGTTGATATTGCGAGGAAAATATTAATATTTTTTTGTTGCATGGAAGGTAAGTTACAATGGTTTACTGAGAATGGAATTTTTTTCAGAGACCATTGGATTTTCACTACCGCTTTGGCACGCAATGGCCTACACTTTCGAATAACTAATTCTACCATGTATTGACATCCACCCCAAAAAGATAAACTTGTAACTCGCTGACCCACCCCTACTGGACATTTGTTTAAAAAGAGCTTCATAGCTCATCAGATTCCTCCAGGATAAAGATTCTGATTCTGAAAATCACGTGGCCCTCTGCTATGCTCCCCACCACCCCATAGTCAACTAGATAGCAGGTTAGGAGTCAGAGATAAGAGTTCAGATTAGTACAGTATCCTACAACTAAATCGCCCTGATTGCACCCCATCTCACCAGACATCACAAGCTACGCAGATTGAGCCTGAACAGGAGATTGCATGTTAATAACAGGTGTTGAAGGCTTGGGCTGAGGTGGCCAAGAGATGGCAGCACAACAATGGATTATTGAATCTGTACGGTGATTAGACAGTGTGTTAGTCCCCAATATGCGTGGTGGATTATTGGTGTTTCTTCCCACATGAAGCCAGCCGTGCATCACTATTAGATTAACCAAACATTGCACCTCCCGATTAACCAAACATTACCAAAACATCGTCCCGAGACTCAGCAAGACGTTCCTAGGTTAAAGAAGACTATCAAAGTATATCACTCGTCGTCAGTATTCATCATGATACGCAAGACAACAACAACAACACACGCACACACACACACAATTATTATTAAAGTCCCCAAATCCCAATGCCAATGCAAACCTCACCTGGCTGCCACATCTTGCTCAGGTGATACGGGTTGCAGCACACGGTCTCGGCGTCCGTCTGTCCGAACGAATCGCAACAGCAGAGGCGCTTGAGTTCTCTCTGGTGTCGCACATCTGGCCAGCGAAATAGCCGGCACAGGAACAGCACCGTCGAGGTGACCTGCGATTGTTGCTGCTGCTGTTGCTGCTGCTGCTGCTGCTGTTGCCTTTGCAGGTCTCCAGGTAAGACGGGCACGTGGACGCAGCCAGAAGACGCAGCTCCTTTGCTCTCCACGGCGCTCGCCAGGGCCTCCAGGTGTCTCTCGCTGAGCCTCTCGAGCACGGAGAAGGTGATGGCCTTGAGCTCATTCGGAGGGTCCCTGTCCCTCTCTCGGTCTCTGCGCTCACGTCCGCCTCCACCGCAAGGAGGCCAGAACGCGCTGCATAGGGAGCCCGCTGCCGTAGCAACAACAGCGGCAGTAGCAGCGGATGATGACGACGATGATGATGATGATGTTGAGGATGATGAAGCAGCTGCTGTCACCAAAGCTGCTGCTGCTGCCGCTGCCGCCTCTGCCGATGCAGCCTCCTCGCAGCCCATAGCTCGACTTCTCCACAGTCTCCGCACAAGTACCGATCGTTTAGATCTGAACATGCGCCGCTGGCTTTCCGGACACTGCTGCCCTTCCTGCTGCTGCCCTTGCTGCTGCTGCCCTTGCTGCTGCTGCTGCCCTTGCTGCTGCTGCTGCCCACGATGCTCCTCACTGCACCGGCTCGGCCGGGGAAACGCATGAAGGAGGAGCGCGGGGGGTGTCTGAAGGGAGCCACCCGCGGGGACGAGGAGGAGGAGAGGGGCGGCCGGGGCATGCAGACTGCGAGCGCCGGCGAGGGCACCGAGCGAGGCTGCTGTATCCGACGGTGCGTCTTGCACTTCTGTTGCCTGCCGGCTGCTGATGCTGCTGCTGCTGATGATGATGCTGCTCCTGGTAATGATGGTGGCGGTGATTGTCGCAGTGGCGGTGATGATGATGATGGCAGTAGCGGTGGTTTTTCACCGAAACGACGGATATCGTGGGTCACGACGACCGATCCATGCATGGGATACAATGACGACGATTTGCTTTGCTTGGTCGCTGCCGCGATGGCTGCGTGGAGGAGGAATCGCTACGACGCCCTCTGTGGTTTGTCACCCCCCTGGGCAGCCACTTAGCGCAGCGCGCTGCCGAATTCAAGCGCAGCGCAGTCCGCGGACGATGACCATCAGCACCACTTGCACCGTCGTCGCACTCATCATCATCACCATCGTCACCCGACGGTCGCATAAACCGCAGATGCAGCGCCCGGGCTCTCTGCTAAGGCTAAGGCACAGCGCGGCGGGTGTCACTAAGCTTCATTAACAACTTTCTAAGAAGAGAAAAACGAAAAATCCCAGTGGTAGAGCGAGTTTCCCACTACCACTACCACCGCAGTAAGAGTTTAACTTTCTCTCTCTGTGTGTGTGTCTCTCTGTCTCTCTCGCTGTGCTCATCTAAATCTAATTTACACCCGGGCTAATGCGTGTCTCAAAACGCTAAAGCGTCCTGGGCGAGTTCTAGCCACACGGCTACGAAGACGACGACTCAGCCGAGATGTATCCTCGACTCCGGCTGCTTGCGACTGCTGCAGCACGAGGTTTGGATGCGGGGAGTCTTGCCGAGCAGGCAGGGGGGTGGTGGTGGTGGTGGGGGGGTAGCTGCGTGCGACTGGGAGCGAGAGAGCACTGCCCAAGCGTTCCTGCCCTCCTCCTCCTCCCTCCCCCCCAGCGCTAACCCACGCATCATCATCATCATCCACCCACCGGTCTCCATCCATCCAACCCCATCTCCGCCCAGGCACCGGGCCGACCAAAGCAACCTCCCCCCTTGCTCGGTCTCCATTGGGCCGCTCGGCGAGACACGCGCCCGTCTAGACGGGCTGGCGGCGGCGGCAGCGGCAGCAGCAGCAGCAGCGATTGTTGCGCAAACAGGGAGATCGCGTTACCCCCACGCGCCATTCCGGAGAGCTTTCGCTTATCTCGGCGTTGCGCGTAAAGAATGCGCGCCACCAACCAGCACCGGCACCAACCGTCATCGTCAACCGCCGCCACTAACCACCACCACCGGCACCAACCGCCACCACTAACCACCACCACCGGCACCAACCGCCACCACTAACCACCAACACCGGCACCAACCGTCATTGTCAACCACCGCCACTAACCACTACCGGCACCAACCACCACCACTAACCACTACCACCGGCACCAACCGCCATCATCAATCACCGCCACTAACCACTACCACCGGCACCAACCGCCACCACTAACCACCACCACTAACCACTACCACTAACCACCGCCACAAACCACCACCACCGGCACCAACCACCACCACTAACCACTACCACCGGCACCAACCACCACCACTAACCACCACCACCGGCACCAACCACCACCACTAACCACCACTAACCACTACCACCGGCACCAACCGCCATCACCACCACTAACCACCACTGGCACCAACCGCCATAAGGAGGGTGGAAATGGCACGCAAATACGCCCCCTTCCCCCCCAGAGAGATGGTTGTTAGGTTTGAGGGTGGTTTTCCATGTAGAAGTAAAAACTAAACTATGTTTTGTTTAATGTTTACCACGTAAAGCCCACTGAGGCTGTATCGCGTTTTTTTGTCTTCAGAAGCGAGCGACGTGGCCGCAAATTGATAGCTCAACGAAGTGGCTTATCGCGTGGAAATGTACGGCAGCCGAATACTCTTTAAACGCGTGATGTTCATTCTAAATGTGGAGGTAAAAAACAACAACCAGAGAACCCGGGGATAAATCCACACCACCACGGGGCGAGAGAGACACGCAAACTCCAAATATACAGCAGGCGTCAGGGTCGGAATCGAACCCACGACCTCCTGTACCGGGAGAGGTAGTCAACATCTCGCCCGCTGCCAGACTGTAGGAAGGATTGGTTCAAAGTTATCGAGGCGACGTTTCGGGTAATGGCCCTTCTTTGTTCATAGCAGTTTTGTACAACAAATATATAAGTTTCTTATACATGTAAAATGTACATTAAATGTACGTTAAATGTCGGTGATGTTTTGGACAATTAGCCCTTACTCAAGCACCATGGCCCGAAACGTCGCCTACTGTATAATTTAGCCGACTGTGCGATACAGTACAGTGCTATGCCACTTTACAAGTACAGTACTGTACAGTACATGCAATACACTTCATTGCCTGCCAGCGACCACAGGCGTCGTTTCGGCCAATGACCCTTTTACATGAGAAGGGGCATTGCCCAACATTTGGCCTATAATATAACTCATAACTCTTCCAACGTAGGGCTGTTATTTACTTATATGTTGAGATTGTGTTATTGACGACTAGCAATTTATTATTACTACGACGAAAGAGTTCTGTATAATAGTGCACGAGACTACGAACATGTGATGTATGGTGGTTGTGTATCAAACAGACATCCGTGTGGCTCTTATACATCAAAATAAAATGTGTTAAGTGCCATCAAGCCTGTCGGATTTCCTTACCGCCCACGCAATCGGTGCCCACTGCACGTGTTCAAGAAGGGCTAAAGAGCTGGAATATGGCCAAAAATATATTGTCTCATCCTGATTAATAACCGGGGCAATCAAGAAAAACTAAACATTGAATCTTGACTTAAAGCTTTCGTGACTGCAGGAGTTCATATTGTTTGGGTCTTTCTGTAAAGTCACATAGATAGGTTCAAATAATTTTTTTTAATATTATATTATAGGCCAAATGTTGGGCAATGCCCCTTCTCATGTAAAAGGGTCATTGGCCGAAACGACGCCTGTGGTCGCTGGCAGGCAATGAAGTGTATTGCATGTACTGTACAGTACTGTACTTGTAAAGTGGCATAGCACTGTACTGTATCGCACAGTCGGCTAAATTATACAGTAGGTGACGTTTCGGGCAATGGTGCTTGAGTAAGGGCTAATTGTCTGAAACATCACCGACATTTACCGTACATTTAATGTACATTTTACATGTATAAGAAACTTAGATATTTGTTGTACAAAACTGCTATGAATAAAGAAGGTCCATTACCCGAAACGTCGCCTCGATAACTTTGAACCAATCCTTCCTACAGTCTGGCAGCGCGCGAGATGTTGACTCCCTCTCCCGGTACAGGAGGTCGTGGGTTCGATTTCGAAAAAAATATGTTTTGTTATTTTCTTTGAACCTATCTACGTGACTTTACCGAAAGACTCAAAGAATACAAAACATTATAATTGAGACTCCCCCAGAAAAAAATTACATCCGAACGTCAATTTCGTTTTATTCAGCTAGGTTTAGCTTAAAGTTATATCTAAGAGACTGCATTTCTTCAAGTGTCGTGCTAAACACTGACAGATACACGTTCCCCATCATCGCCGTGAGTATGACGACACTGAAACCAGACGGCAAGCGGACAGGGCCCCCTGAGCCGGATGGGTGGTGAAGAGTCCCGCATACAACAAACGCCACGTGTGCCTGCCACCCGTCCTCACAACGTCCCATACACCGGTTCGTGTTGTCAAACATGCAGGGCCATTCATTGTTGGTGGAGAGACTTAGACACGTCCCCCCCGCCTCCCGTTAAAGAAATCTGGAGGAAATGAATATTCGTCAAGATGTGACGCTGGCACAGTATGTGTAAACACACAGGCAAAACCTCATGCAGTGCCACCACCGTGGTCAAGTATGGTTAAAACACACGACCGAAACAGCATTGGAAGGCCTTCACTCATGAGTGGATTGACAAATTCCTGCAAAACAAACACAAAACTCATCGAACTTAAAACGTAGCTAGGTTAACGTGGATAAGTTAGATCATTTGGACGAGTTAACCATAAGTTGGATGAGTTAACGTGGACAAGTTAGATAAGTTGGTTGAGTTAATATGAACAAGTTTTGTGAGTTGTAAGAGTTAACGTGCATAGGTTAGATGAGTTGACTCAGTTACCATGGCCTAATCCAAAACGACATGATCACAACTCATCTGTCCAAACATGAACTACTGTACTGTGATAATGTATGCACTGTCCTTGAAGTTGATTGGTCTACACCCAAGGCAGCTTTCCTTAGAGCCTAGTCTCACATGGTGTTGAACCAGATGACGCCAAAAGGCACACAATTCAAAGACAATGCACCATCATTTTTTTTTTGCATTATGACTGCAGGTATTGTGGTCTATGCAAACATGACTCCTTGTAAAAAAAGGTGTCAGTTTTGTTGCCAGATAAAAGGGTAAAAAACCAATTATCATATTTTTTTACTGCCAAATGAGGTTCCAATGGTACTGTATTGTATTTACAAATTCTGCTTTTCATTTCCCTCCAACGTGTTACGTGTACAGTATATGAAACAAATGTTAAAACACCTTATTGGAGCTGGGACGATCAGTCGATTTGATACGACTAGTCGTATAAACATTCGGCCGTTTTCCAGTTTGCCTTTAACGCCGCTAAAATACAAAAACTATTTTCGGGGCCTTAGAAGAAGCGAGAAACCGTCGACGCCGACATCAGTTGGGGCACGAGGTGATGGTGGCGGTGATGCGCATCCCTAGTCGCCGTCACGCGACGCCTTACACCGAATGGGCCCGCGAACAGGACCTGGTCGAACAATGGGGTCTTACTCTTTCTGACAATAACACGGGAGGTGTTAAGACGTTAAAACACCAAGTAGATAACGTTTTATTGGCATAGCATCAAGTCTGCATTAACCACACATAATTGTGGGAAAACATACAAACAAACATGCTCTGATTATAATACATGCATTGTCTTTGAAACTGATTGGCCTACACAATAGACAGCCTTCTTTATGGCTTTGTCTCACCAGTGATAGACCAGAGAACGCCAAAAGGCGAACAGTACACAGACAATGCAAGTAGAGTAGTTATAGCTGGAGTCGAGGAGTTATATCCATCGGAACATTTTGCCCTACACTGGTGAGACAAGGCCATGCATAATACAATCATGAGCACGGGTTGGCTAGGTACGGTGCGAAAGAAGTTCAAAGTACATTATTATAAAACATGGCACATTTCCCCCCACAAAATTACCACAATGCAGTTCTTTTGAACTGGTGGTTTTGCATCATGCAATTACCATTATACTTGAAAGGCACACCTTTTGATGTTGTTAAATATGTATTTCCTACGCTCCCCCTCCACCCCCTATTACGCAAGCTTGCACTCGCGTTTCTATTGCGATGGAGTTTCTTTGTAATTTCTACACATTTCAATTCAACTTTACTACATCTACGCGTCTCGAGATACCGCACGTGGCGCGTTGTGCTGTGAAACAAAATGCAGGTAGCATGTGTAAAGCTCAATTATCGATGCGTTCTTACTGAATGCACGTGTCCCCGATGTGGGGATGCTCACAAACCGCCAGAGGCGACCTGGCTACACACGAAAGCGTCTTTCTAAATGTTGCGTGAAAACCCTCCGAAAAAAAACCCACGCGACCACTATGGGGAGAACATGCAAACTCCACATGTACAGGCATGGTCAGTGTAAGGTTCGAGCCCACGGCCTCTATGTGGAGTTTGCATGTCTGTCTCCACGTCGTCGCGTGGAATTTTTTTCCGGCTCCTCCGATTTTTCCCTCCATATAAGAACCATGCATTGATATCATTTAGATGATTTTGTTGATAACAGGACCCTGCGGGGTGGGCTGGTAGGAATAATACTTAGTACCGGTACAGAGATATCGACCGGGTATAGAGGAGTTAAAGAAAAAAATACTGTATTCTAGTGTAACGTTAATTAAAAGTGTTTGTTTTGACAAGAAACGCTGTGAGATTTAAAGACTCGTAGTCTTTCATTTCCAAC